GAAATTTTTTTAAATAAAAAAACGACAATTGCTGCGACCCGCAACGTTTCAACCCAAAGAAATCGTACAAAAAAAAATAAATGAAAAAGAACCCCAGTTAACAAAATAATATTAATAATAAAATTAAAGCTTCGCAGTAGATAGGTTGACTGATAGTCGGTGAATAAATTCAGCATAATTTGAATTTACCTGATTTACAAACGATTTACTAATTTTAAAATCGAACCGGAACCGGCCCATAAGAGTCGGCTCAAAATCGTATCGTTATCAAATAAAGGCTGAGCTGATAACCCGTCATAAATTTTTTAACATCACATTTGTATAAATTTAACTTGACGCTTTTAGTCCTAATTTACTTTAGGAGAGCCGAAGTAGAACCGAAAAGGTACATAAATGGAACCGTCCCTATCCCTAGCAGCAGATAGAACCGACACTTCGAAAAGAACCTAAAAACAAAAAAAAAATAAAATTAGAAACTTTAATAATCAAAAAAATATAATGTAAAAAAGGAAACAGAGAAAAAAATATCTACCTATCACATACTGAAAAATATAATCTATCTCTGCAATCCGAAGTTATCAAGGACGAAAAACACCAACAACCGAAAACAAAAAAAGAAATTCCAAATTCCAAAATTAATAAATAAATAAAACAATCTATCCCTTTATCAAAGCTAAAAGTAATAAGAGAACAAAGAGTAAAATTAATTTTTTATTCTGTATCTAATCAAATTTAGGTTAAACATAAAAAAAAAAATATAAAAATATATGCTAGCAACTGATCTAACCAAAAATTGAATGTTAAAAAAATCAATAAACATGAGTCGAACAAAATGATCACGTTAAAATTTTTTTTTCATCGCATTGCGTTCGATATACCGGAAATTACACCTTCCTTGCTAAATGAGCTCCTAAACGTATATTAATTTTATAATCATTAAAACTAAGGTTTGATTTGCACTATTTATTTATAATTTGCCATATACCAAAGATTAGGTGAAAAAAAATTATTACGCCTTAGCAAACATGTCATTGATAACTTCATTTCTTTTGAATTGGTGAAATAAATATCGTAGCGGCTGGAATTCTTACTCAACGGCTAACCATGTTTCTAAATACAATTCTCAATTTATCATTTTGGTTAGTTTTTTAATGCAAACGCGATACATGCGTCAACTTCCTGCAAAAAATGTCGATCATTATTATAGATCAGCGGTGATAATAATAACAATTAGATTTTTCAAGGTGACTTGAAGATCTCACATTTCTTTAAATAATTTCACTTCAAATAATAAATCAAATATTAAAATCATGAGTAAACGAAAAGAATATTAAGTTAGTTTAATTTTCTCGGTTTTATAGATGAAAATTTGCATTATCGACCATTTTCTTGAGATTGGTGGGAAACGCGACGCACAAATAATACAAGTGAATGTCTGGCTTATATCCCATTCGTGTCAATATGAAAACTTTAGTTATTCTCCGAAATACACAATTTATTACTAAAGGTCATCCTGAGTCTTTGCAACAACCAGGATATATTTGTGAAGCAGGAGATTCTAATAGTACTATTTTTGACAGAATAACTCAAGGTATGATGGATAGAAAATTAATGAAAATAAATGTGATATATGGGTCAATAGATTATATATTATTCAAAAACATATAATAAATCTAGCGATTGAACCTTATGTGAAAGTATTTAGCAGTTTATCAATGAAATGAAATCAATTTATAACTTTAACAAATTGTATGAATTTAAACTATACAGCTTGGTAATACGCATAAGGATTCATCAAATATCTGAAAAATAATAAACAATTAGTGAATTTGAGAAACGAATCAATTATCTTGATGAAGATTGTTATAATTAAATTTTCTATTCTTATTTATTTAAACTACCCTTTTTATTTCGTATTATCTAGACGAATAATAATCAAAAATATGCTCTATTAAAAATCCATCAATTTCTCATTTAATTAGAGGTTGGAACCGGTTAATTTTTAACCAGTTGATTAACCGGTCAAAAAGGTTAACATGTTAACCGGTTAAAGATTTTTTCTAACCGGTTAAAATAGATGAATTTAAATCCGGCTGAAATTCAATTTCCGGCCAGAATTAAGATTTTTATGATTACAAATTATTGTCTAACTCTGGCCAAATTTATAGTACTGGCCAAAGTTAATTTTAACAGGTTAATTAACCGGTTAACAAATATTTTAACCGGTTATTAGCCTAAAGAATTTCGGCCGGTTCAACCTCTACATTTAATAACGATTCTCATGAATTAATTATTTCTCATTAGACTTATTCTTTATTTAGCATCCTTCTATTTTATTATCATTTCGTTTATTCCTTTATATTTAATTGTTTTTTCTTATTAGATTTAACGTGAATGATAGCTTGTCAGCTTTCTTTAAATATTCAATACACTACAATTAGTTAATTATTGTTTTATTGATTAAATATAAATTGCTTCAAAGTCCCTAAAACCTAGCTATTCAGAAGGGATAAAAATAAAAAAATGGAATATTGAAAAATGTGGTTCAATTTTTTCCTTTATATTTGTTTATTAACTTAATTATTTACGAATCACATGGTTAGAAACTATGTATTGAAAATTAAAATACTAGTGCTAGTCTTCATAATAAGAAATAGGTTAACAGATATTTAATATTTTTAAACACGATTTAAAGAAATGTGAGGCTTACTATTAAATCACATTACAGATCATATTATTTACAATGTTTAAATATAAACAATTCAAGAAATGTTTCAAAATTTAATAGAATATTTTAACGAAGTATTTAGGGTTCTTGATCTTTATTAAAAAAATTAAGTCTTCCTTTAAACAATCTTAAAAATAGAATAAAATAGAAAATATAATTTTAATAACATTTGAATTTTTCTCGTTATTAGTCGATTATCAAACCAAAGTTGAATTTTAAATTGTTGTATCGTATTATTTTTTTTTTTTACATTGTGAAACTAAATTTTTTTGTCAGTCATTCTGTAATATGATTTAATAAATAAATTCAATAAAAAGTGAAGTAGTATTTTAGCCATTTAAAATATTCTTTTTCTTCTTCAGAAGTTTCATTTAATAATCTCTATAATTTTACTACTTTTCTTATAGTTTAAGACATATTAGTATCATTAATCTGATTGAACTTACAGGTTGAGAGATTTTTGAGTTATCATATTTTTTAACCGAGTCCTTAAATAAAAAATTTGGAATCAGATTTATTTTTTTATCCGGGATTTATTTATTGGGAGTCGGATTTATTATGTCGATTCCGGACTTAAGAATATGTTTTTATTAGTAACAACAAGATTTCATTCAAAATAGTAAGAAAAGTTTCGGACAGGCATATTATCAAAATAAGATTTAAGAAGTTAAAAATTTCTTTTAAAAAAAATGAAGTTATGCCGAATATGTTCTGTTACATTCAATTAATATTATGCTGAACTAAATTTCCGGTTTTATTATTTCCGGGTATGGATTCAGATTTATTTATATATATACTAGCAAATTTTTGCATCCGTACTGAGAAATGTTCACATCGCTACAATTATTTAAATTATGATAGAATGATTATCGTTGTTGCTTGTTTTTATTTATAACTTAAAACCGGAGATTCATAAATGTACGATAAAATAACGAAACCTTTTAATTGGCAAAATTTTTAAAACATATACTTATAACCTCGAAAATTTATTCCGTCGCGAAATTAATTAAAAACGATAAAACCTTAAAGATTTCATGTGGAAATAATTTTATGCACTTGAGCATTATTTCAAACTTGATTAGAACCAAAAATAATAATAAAAAAAAAGATTACTATTGATTAATAATTAAATCAATGAACTGCACTGCTTTTCCCTTTCATTGAATTCTACACCAGTAAAAAACAATTAAAAAAATTTCTAAATTAATTTAAGGAATTTCAAGCATTCTCACATTCTCACAATTAATAAAAAAAAAGTGTCAGAACTAACAAATCAAATTTATTTCTACGGAGTTTTTATAAACCGGACCGGATTTTCTATTACATTATATCTAAATAAAGTCTAAGAATCAATCCTTGTAATAGCTTTCTTTGTCAAAATAACCGAAACTTCACGTTTATAGACTATTTTTACTTAAAAAAGATAAATAATTATGCATCTCAAAATTTCATCCGACGGTATTAATAAATAATTTTGTCTTCACTTCTTGTATTACTCTTTCAACATATTTATTCGAAATATTCATTGGAATCAGGCGCTATTATTACGCCAATTAAATTTACTCATGTTTATTTGTTCACAATAACAGGGTAACAAAACTAAATCTTAAATTGTTTCGCAATCTTCCAATTTGTTAACTTAATAAAGGGAATGATAAATTTAACATTAATATTTTAATTATGCTGTAAATTATCAAAGATTGTAATTCTTGTTATTAATGAAATCTTAATCTAAATTGTAATTCCTATCAAACCATTTTTAGCAAATCTAATTGTTAATTAATTACGGCAATTAAATATCGCTAAAAAAAAAAAGTAAGGAAAGGAAAGTAAAAAAGATGCAAGAATTCACAGAGCCAAAAACGCAATCAAATTCTTAAATTCCCGAAAAATATTTAACGCAACGCAATATTTAAACAAAGGAGTTAAAAAAAAATCAATGAAAGGAAATTGATGATTTTCGTGTTTCCAAGGTAAAGGATGCATATTCGACTTGAAACTTTTATGCATGAGCTCATTAGCAATTTTCATGAATTTATAAAGTTTTTATGATAAAAAAATTTTGAACATGTTCTGTGATAGGAGTTATTAAGTCCATTTTTAAATGATGATTCTTAAATCACAAATATCAAGCATAAGATAATTTATAATTCAATTATTTTATACGAAAATAGAGTTTCGATTAAATTTTTTTATTGATTTTTGGATCAAATCTTCAAGTTAATATTAGATATTTTTTTAAAAAATAAATATATAAAATAAGGTAAAGATTATTAAGGAAAATGTTCAAATGTCTTATTCTCAAACTTTATATTAGAAACGATAATTTAAATTATAAACGCATACAATAATTAAATAAAATATTTACAAGACAATGTTTAATATTATAGTCACGATTTGTACCGATACTTAGGATAAAATAATTAAATTATGTGAAAGCTTATGATATCTTTACTCCACAAAATAACTTTAAAATTAAGGTTGTATAGAAAGTTAAAGGTTTAGGAAATAGTACAGGAGTGATTTGATTTGGCAGGATAGTATTAGACGTTGAGTATTTTAAAGATTTAGGCTTGATACTCGTTAAGGAATCGGGTAAATTTGGTAAGCTATTTATTTTAGCCTTATAAGCAACTGGAGTACTGTTAAGGAGTTGGGTAAAGTTGGTAGGATAGTTATTGGAGTATTAGAGCAAATAAGTTCCGTTAAGAAGTTGGGTAAAGTTGGTAACTTAGTAATATTAGTATCATTGCAATAAAGTTATGTTAATTTGCGATATCTTTGTAATCCTCCTAAGACGTTTAATATGTCATCCTTATTAAATTCCTTAATCCTTAAACATTCAATAGTATCATCAAAAATAATATCTGATATTTCAATATTTGGTTCTAATTCTTCTACAACCTGACCAGCCAAATGATTAATAATTTCGTAATTATTTGATTTTGATACATAATTATTCATTTGATATTTATCTGATCAAATCAAATAATTTGAGATGTTTCTCCAAATGAATTATTTTTACTAGAAGAAGCGTCGATGTAATCCAAACGTCGCTCTTTTCATTAAGTTTAAATTGTGGAGATGTATTGTCCTTCTTCATATGTTAAAACATTTTTGTATCAACATAAGGAATTACTCCAAAAGATTAGTTTGTGCTTCAATTTTTTTCGAGAATCCAAAGTCGGCTAGTTTAATAACACCTTGATGAATTAGTACATTGCCGGAATGCTATTGTATGCATATCAGGTATAAAAAAATTAGTTATTAAACCGCAATATTCAAAGAAAGTTTATATTATGTAATTATACCAAATCACGATGCACAATTCCTTCATCGTGTAAACACGATACTGGAATCCTAAATTGTATTTATCTCCCCAAGCAAACTTATCAAAATTATCTTTCAAGTAGTTTTTTAAGCGCACCGCAGTCAGCATATTCCATTATTAACCAATATATTTTCAATTGTTAATTTTTGAATTTATTTTTTTTAAAAAAAAAAAAATTTATAAAATTAATTAAATTTAAAATATAAAGCCAATCAAATATATATTTGCATGATTTAAGATTTTATACCTTGGTTTGATGATGTAATTCCCCAAAAACGAATGATATTGCTATGAAAATCAGCTTCCCGCCGAAGTTCAAGCTAAATTTATTAAATATAATATTTTAACTTGACTTAATATTCAAAAACATTTTATACAAAATGGTCCGAAATAAACCGAAATACAATCTTTTATTTGTAATTACCTCGTGAACAAATATTTTAACAGTGGCATTGCTAAAGTTATGAAACGATTTTAACGCAAGGTGTTGATTTGAACTTTTCCAAAGCTGCCAGTACCATTCTCTTGAAAATTACCTAAAATGTTTATATTCGTAGTATTTTATACTTTTTCTTGAGATAGAATTTTCAATCCAATTAATCCACTCATTCGAATCGTTTCCATCTTGCATGTTGATTTATTAAATTTTGTTATATAGCGTAGCG